CCCGGAGGACAACCCTCAACCATTCCCCATCCTTAACCTTCACTGACAGAACACCAGTTGCATTACGTTGCTTCAATATCATTGTTTAGATCTTCATTTCATCTTCATTTTCCATTACAACCCCACCTCCCTTCCCCACCCCACCTCCCTTCCCCACCCCACCTTCCTCACACTCCCCACCTCCCTCCCACCGCCCGCTAGTCTACCAACATCACCTTGGCCACCGCCACCGCCTCGTCCAGTCCGGGAGGGGGGGTGTTGAGCAGCTCCCCCAGCTTGAGGTCCTGAAGGCCAGGGGGGTGGAGGGGGGGTTGGCGGGGGGGAGGGGGAGGGAGGGGCAACGTCTGAAAGCAGCAGCATCAGCAGCAGGAAGAAGAGCAACGGATAGCAAGCATACCTCCTGCCCATCGCCTACCACGTCCCCCCTACCCCTGCTTTCGTGCCCCTCCCTTCCCCCGCATACCTCCTGCCCATTTCCCTCTCCGCGGTCACTTTTGTGAACCTAATTACCTCCCCCTCCCCTTCCCCCACATGACTCACCCTCAGGTATTTAGGGTTTAGGGTTTAAACCCTAAAACCCTACACACACACGCACACACTCACCGCCAGCTGCTCAAGTACAAAGCCCAGTCCCATTCGGTTCATGAAGTCACCAACCTGCCGTACATGAGGGATGCCGTACACACATGCATGTGGATAAAGGGTGAGGAACACACAGTTTACCTCCCATCTGGTTGGGAAAGGAGGTGGGGGACAAGAACATACAAATAGACGCAGAAGCGAGGTCCAAATCCAGATCCGGATCCAGATTACGGCGTCAGTCCAGTCCAGGTCAGAGCCGGAACACGTCCGTCCGTCTGTCTGTCAACGTCCGTTTGTGGCCCCGGTGTTGTAAATCGCGACCCACTCGCGAACCACCAATCGCAACCGGTGACACACCGCTCAGCACGTCGCACAGCACGGGAACACGGGAAGATGGTGGTGGCGGTGGCGGTGGCGGCGATGAGGGGGCAGCGGTGGAGGGGAGGGGGAGGGGGCCATACGGAAACTAACAGGCTGTAGGGGGTAGCGCGGGTACTATGTCCCTCGCCAAGTCTTCTGTCCGCCACCCCACCCCACTCCACCCCAGCACACACACCCGCCAGCTGCCTAGGCCGCAGCGGCAAGCCAACGTGTGGTGGGATAAGGTGGACCTGGTGCTCCGCCAACCCCATCCCCCACCACCCCCCACTACCCTTTCCTTCCGGGTTCTCCCTCGATAGAACCAATACCGCCTCCACCCCTCCCATCCTCCTGCAACCCCCCAACACACCCGCTCCCAGCCCTCCCACCCAAACCACCTCACCTGCGCCGCCGCACTGGCTCCCCCCCCCTCCGGGCCCCCCTCCCCCCCTCCCGCCCCCTCGAAGAACTCCCTCTTGGCCTCCTCCGGATCAATCTCCAGCCCCCACAGCGGCAGGTCCGTGCCCTGCAGCAGCACCGGCTTGCCGCCACTCACGTCCTGGAGGGGGGGGGGGAAAACGGGGGGGAAGGGAGTACACACGGATGACCTGCTGGCTCATGCAAGCGGTGCACCAGGAGGTCACCGAGGGGGAAAGGGGTTGTGCGGGGGAGGGGCAGCAAAGCCCGGCAGGCAAGGTGTTGTGAGGAAACACACCCCCGGTGGGGGGGGATGCCGACATCCGGAGTTGTACACATCCGAGCCTGTAGCCAACAAGCATCGTATGAGCACAAACAAGTTTGGCTGCCTCCATTGACTGAGGTCACTGAAAGTCACATCAACGCCTCTCGGGCTAAATTTAATCTCAAAAGGTGCCGTGTATCTCATAATTGAATTCTGAGATGACGGCGTATGATAACTCCAACACCCAGCTTACGTTACCATTTGCCCGCACGGGCATTCCGACTTGCCACCAGCAGGTCGACAAATTTGTTTTCATTTCTCTATGAAATACGCAAGCTGCTAGCTTGTAGATTTACTTGGCCAAGGCTCGGGGCCTCCGAGGACTTGCAGTGTGCCGCGGCGGAGAAGCCGCTCGCGCTTCGGGGATAAACATCGCAGGCAGCACCGGAAAGTGCTGAGAGCTTGGGGGAAGTGTGTCGAGCTAGGCTTTGAGGGGGGGGGCCAAGGGCGTGTGAGCAGGCGCCCGAATGGGCAGGTCAATGCCTGAAGGGGCGCCGTAGGCAGTGCGTACGGTGCTGTACGGCGCTGTTTTCCGTGTGTGTTTGGGCTGCGGCACCGGGCCGCAAAGCCAACAGGCTGAAGACTGGCAAGCTGCGATTGTGTCTGCTGAGCATTGAGCAGCCGGCCTGGACCACGGACTTGGCGGCCGAGCCCCTGCCATATGCCGGTAACGGCACCTCAGACGCATACGCTTACGCCCAAGCACGGGGCTGTCGGTGGCAGGTCGCGGACCTCCCGACTATGTGTAACGGCCAATGACTCTTAGCCGTGTCTGCTAGGTTCCAGAGAGACACCGTCTCTTCAACAGGTTATGAGCCCCGGCTTCCTGCCTCCCGCGCCCTGACAAACATACCTTCCACAGCATCAGCACTGCTGCAACAAGCACAGCTCCCACCACGTTGACACTACCCTAGCTACCGGCCTGTACGGATGCAGGGGCCCCCCGCCCTTGTTCCGGCTTCGAGGAAGCCGACACCCGACTTGTCCCACCCTCCCCTCCCCCTCCCCTTTCTTCCCCTCAACCCCCTCCCCCTCAACCTCCTCCCCCTCAACCTCCTCCCCCTCAACCCCCTCCCCCTCAACCCCCTCCCCCTCAACCCCCTCCCCCTCAACCCTCTCTCACCTGCGCTAGGGAATCGCTGAGTGAGTGCGCCGGGTCAGTGGACACCACCAGGGTCGTGTGGCCCGCTGATGCCAACTTGACAGCTAGGGAGGCGGACAGACTGGTCTTGCCAACACCGCCCTGCGGGGTGGGGAGCGGGGGGTGAGGAGGGAGGGAGGAGCGGACGAGCGGGGTGGTTGCGGAGGAAGCGGGGGATCATTCAACCGTCATCCCCCCCCATCTCTCCCCCGGGCAAGCCAGTGTACCATAGCCACAGTTACAGCAGCCACAGCGGCAGTCACGATGACACGGCCCCATCACAGTGGGGTAGCCCCGGGAGGTGCTGGGAGGCAAGACAGGGAGCTAAACCCACCCACCCGCAGTGCTCCGTTCCACCCCCACCCCCACCCCCCAGTACTACCCGCTCTCATTCCTGCCCACGCCCCTCTACCCGACCCAGCTGCTGCTCCCTCGCACTGCTGCTGCTGACGCCGCATTCACTGGCGCCGCGGCGCTGAGGGTTTGCGCCCCGGGGTCGATTGGGGCCCCCTGGGTGGGCTCATGCACTTAGCTGGCGGGGTGCACACCTTCCCAAGCGTACCCCTACCACACCGCACCGCAACATATTCACAACACACCACACCACACCACACCACACCGCACCACACCGCACCACACCACACCACATTCGCACACATTCACACCACACCACATTCACTCCACAATCACACCACACCACATTCACACTACACCCCCCAAACGCACTTTTCCGCTGATCATGATGTACTTGCGCTGCTGGCCCGCGGACAGCTCCTCAAAGCAGGAGGCGGACGAGGGGCCCGCAGAGGCTCCGGAACCACACACGAGGCCAGGACCCCGGCCACGAGGCAGCTGGCGGAAGGAGGCGGCGGCGGCGGCTCGGAAAGGGCCCGCGGCACCCTCACGGCGCGCAACTAGGCGAGTTGGCTGCTGGGATAGCGAGGCAGGGGTGGAGCGGGGGGCACAACCATACACCGCAAAATGTAACAAATTAAATGTCGTCGCTTGCAATTCGCAATTCACTCAATACATTCAGGAGGGTCCGAGAGAAACTTGGCTTTCGCCTTGCCGACCTCGAGTTGGGCCCTCCGGCTGGGTGGGCCACTGCCCTCCGCGCCCCTGTTTCCCCCCTGCACACACACACACACACACACACACACACACACTCCCGTGTCCGCCCCCGTGTGGATGCGCACACGTGAAGGCCGGTGGTCCCTTGAGGCTAGTCCCAGTGTTTATATGTGGAAGCAGGGTGGTGAAGGCCCTGTGGGGTAATTGCTGGGGTGAGGGTGAGAACTCTGCCAGCATGCATGCCCACGACATGGCAGGCACTTGCCTGTGTTGCATCGTTTTGGTCCATCCTTTTCCACAAGTGGGACCTCAAGCACTTGGCACTATGCCAACCTGGTAACGCCTTACTACGTATCCTTGGCAAGTTGTCCCGATGAAGATCCCGGAGGCGACAAAACTTACTTGGACCGATGGCGAGACTTCCCAAGACGACCATGTATATCGCTGTTTGCTGGGCAATCCATCTGCCCGAGAAGCTGCTTGTGCAATCACGCAGCGCTCCGCACTGCAGTCGAAAGGACGTCCGCTCGGCCCAGCTCGACGTGCCGCTCCGGAGCGGAATTGAAAATTGAGGGCCATCATAGGAAGACGCTCTTTTTATTAGGTACAGTGAGCAGTTGCCGATGCAATGAAAATGAGGTTTCACGTCGGCGTTGGATGCCTAATGTTACCTAAACTGGCAAATTAAATATCGAAATTGTTGGCAGGGTGCCATGCTCTCTTCCGATTGGGCTTTGAGGGAAGGAGGTAGATAGTTCGCGAGAGCTTCGGTTCGTTACCAAGATCCAATTAAGCGACGATTAGCCACCACAATCATCCTAACCAGACATCGGCAAACGGGGTATTTTTTGTTTCGGGAACGGGTCTGTTTCTATCTTCCAGTACAATTCTGTTACAAGGCCGCGTTATCCGGCTTCTTCGAAACCGGAAAAAGGCGGGGGGCCCTGCATCCGTACAGGCCGGTAGCTAGGGTGGCACGTGTGACAATTGATGGGTAGTGTCAACGTGGTGGGAGCTGTGTTTGTTGCAGCAGTGCTGATGCTGTGGAAGGTATGTTTGTCAGGGCGCGGGAGGCAGGAAGCCGGGGCTCATAACCTGTTGAAGAGACGGTGTCTCTCTGGAACCTAGCAGACACGGCTAAGAGTCATTGGCCGTTACACATAGTCTGGAGGTCCGCGACCTGCCACCGACAGCCCCGTGCTTGGGCGTAAGCGTATGCGTCTGAGGTGCCGTTACCGGCATATGGCAGGGGCTCGGCCGCCAAGTCCGTGGTCCAGGCCGGCTGCTCAATGCTCAGCAGACACAATCGCAGCTTGCCAGTCTTCAGCCTGTTGGCTTTGCGGCCCGGTGCCGCAGCCCAAACACACACGGAAAACAGCGCCGTACAGCACCGTACGCACTGCCTACGGCCAGGGAACGAGCCGATACGGAAACCTGCGGAAACGGAAACCTGCGGAAATAGGTTTCGTCACGCTTTCCGCAGCGAAGCCCAGATTGGCGGAAGTGCGGAAAGAGAATCCGCATTTCCGCGTTTGGTGTACGGCGGAAAGTCAAAAACAGATTCCAGGCATGCGTTTGCCATTTAAAGACTGCGTTTTACACTATGGAGTTATTAGATTAAAGTCAAATGTCAGCAACAACTGGCCCCGACCTGGGGGCTGCCAAAGTCATAGAGATTGACTGGGTTTCTGCTCAGAAGAAGGGTGGAAGGCCCGTTGACGACGTTTGGAAACATTTTGATAGAGGTCCTTACGACAAAAGAAAGAACTGCTACGCAACCTGCAAGGGCTGCCGTCGCCACTGGAAACGTGCTCGCCTTTCTGAAGGGGGCAGGGTGAACACCGTCAAGGGTGTGGGTACACAATAGTTGATCGCTTGGCCCCCGCCACCCCCAGTAATACGTTTAGATGGCTCTACCTTCGAGCAAGATTGGAATCCACCAGATTCTAGATCCCACCGGACAGAACCGCACTGCCACAAGCTGGTTTCAGACTGTCCATGTCATCACCACACTGAGAAGAGCTAAAAAACATCGTTACATATTCTTTTATAGTTTTCGCAGCTTTCCGCAGTTTCCGCAGCCTTTCCGCAAAGGGGCTCCCGAATACTAAAAGATTCCGCAGACCTGGTCAAGTTTCGGCTCGTTCCCTGCCTACGGCGCCCCTTCAGGCATTGACCTGCCCATTCGGGCGCCTGCTCACACGCCCTTGGCCCCCCCCCTCAAAGCCTAGCTCGACACACTTCCCCCAAGCTCTCAGCACTTTCCGGTGCTGCCTGCGATGTTTATCCCCGAAGCGCGAGCGGCTTCTCCGCCGCGGCACACTGCAAGTCCTCGGAGGCCCCGAGCCTTGTCCAAGTAAATCTACAAGCTAGCAGCTTGCGTATTTCATAGAGAAATGAAAGCAAATTTGTCGACCTGCTGGTGGCAAGTCGGAATGCCCGTGCGGGCAAATGGTAACGTAAGCTGGGTGTTGGAGTTATCATACGCCGTCATCTCAGAATTCAATTATGAGATACACGGCACCTTTTGAGATTAAATTTAGCCCGAGAGGCGTTGATGTGACTTTGACCTCGGTCAATGGAGGCAGTCAAACTTGTTTGTGCTCATACAAGTTTTTGTTGGTTACAGGCGAGATACCTTGCAATTACGCGTTTCAGCTGGGCGAGATATTATGTTTGGTCCGTTACACACGGCCACACGGCCATGGGCAATCCTACAAGGCGGGGGCCCCTGGGCGCTTCACGCTGGGGCCCCGCCCCAAAATGTGATTTTTGCAAAAGTTTGACATTCTGAAACATTTTGACCGCGGACTTAAGTCGTCGGGCGGCCCTTCGGGCCGCATAACACCTTTCGTACACGGCATACGATGATATTTCGGACGGCTTCGAAAGCCTCCTTTCTGTTTTCGGGAGTTTCGGTACGAACCGAACATCGCGGAGCGTTTGCCGATGTCTGATCCTAACATGCTGGAGCCAGAGCGGAACGCGCCAGGCGCGGGGAGTGCGGGTCTGTGCAACTTTCCCCTCTATTCACACGTTTTTACACTGTTAATGATGAGCTGTCGATCACACAGTCCCAAGAACCCCGCCCCTTTAGAGCAGTGCAAACGTCGAATTCATTTACCCGAAGGTAGCTGTTCGCTTGTTCCGCGGTGAACATTATTCCGTCACCACGGACGGACGGAACAGATAATACGGTGGGATGTGTCACATTCTGGTTACAGATATTACTCTTTTGTGGCAGCCAACTCGACGTTACCCTGATGTCCAGCATCGTCACCGTCGAACACCAACACTACACACCGTGTAACCTGTGGCCAGAAATATCTCTCTGAAGTCGCTCTGAATGCACCAAAAACACCTCCTGCTCCATCCAAGCATGCTAAATTATTTAGCAAAGCTACAAATATGCGATGCAGCATACTGAAGTCAAAACCCTCCACGTCCAGTTTCCAACATTCTGAATTACTCCACTCTCGCGAGTTCATCTCATTCGCTCTCGCTCTCACCCTCTCATTCCTCGTTCCTTTACACAAACAACCCTTGATACAGCACTCGAGGAAAGCACGCAATTGCAGTTCCACTTGATCGTAAGCTCATAAAACGCCTAATTACCCCTCCCTCTGTGGGTACGCTTTGCCGGAATCAGTAGCATCCGAGTCCTAAGCTTAATGCGCAGCATCAGCTCCCACTGGGCAGCTCGGGACTTGGATAAGACGAATGCCGGCGCATGGTATCACCCTCTGTTCCAATTCCCTCTCTCTTTACTGCTGTGTGAGGTAAGCCAGCAGACCGAGGGTGGCGACGATGGCGGCCCCCGTGGCAATGAGGAACTCGTTCTGGCCCCTGGAAAGGAAGGGTAGGCACAGGATTTTCAACCTGTACGACATCATGTCGGTTCCATTACAAGTGCACCAAGAACTCGGCCGCACAAGCTTCTTTCTTTTTGCGCTGCATTCAAGACCGCATGACGCGGTATTCTGAGAGGCACACCGCGCCGTGCCGCATAGCCAGGATACATGTGCCACACATCTATGCCCTTTCAAAGATGTTCATTGCGCAGTGGACACACAGGGGGCTGCAACACACGTCCCCAACACACGAGTCACTGCAGTCATCCTAGGAAACAACTTACTCATCCGGGTTGCCACCCTCCGCCACAATTTGATCGCGAAGCTTCTCCTTGCGGGCAACCATGGACTTGGGGTCGTTATTGCGCAGCGAGTTGTTCTTGAGCTCCTTAAACCTGCGTGCGGATAAGAGTAGATGGTAATCATAACGATGGCTAGGTCAATATCCCAGATGAAAGCTCGTCGGAAAATATTCACCATCACAAGGTATGAAATCTCCTCGGTTAATGGAAGACACAGACACCTGGCTGAAAGGAGGCATCCGCACGCTTTTAAATACGCCAGCGGTCGCTGCACGGCCCGCGTAGACGCCAATACGTTATGCAATTAATGCGGACCCTAATTTCTCGTCATGCTACTATGTTGTGTATTGACGTATAAGCTTACCGGCGCTTAGGGGCACCGCAAACGGGGCACGAGTAGCTCTTGACCTGCTCGAATGGCGTCGACTCATCGTAGAGATACCCGCAGTCCAGGCACACGTAGGCCGCCTTGGCAGGAGCCTTGGTCTTGGTGAAGATAGCGTTCACCGACACACGGCTCTGCCGCGACACAGAGCCGCGCACCGCCGACTGCGATTGTGTTGGGAAGGGACAAATCTTGTCGTGCCCAGCAAACCGCATTACCATCATTGGGCACAGACCGTCCAGGTGACATGATATGCGGATGTCGATTCAGTGCGCCAAGGAAAAGATCCTCCATCGCTAGAATGACTGCAGCACTAGCGTGAAGACGGAGGAAAAGCCCCATCTGCGCTCTCACGATACATGAGTAGCAAGCGAAAGCGACTGGTAATTGGGGCCGAGCAGCGACTACTCATTGGAGTGAGCGGAAGATGGTAACGTTCAGTGCCGCAAGAAAGTACAGGACACAACAAACTCCCGTGAAAGACCTTCAATAGAAAGGATAAGCTTTTGACTGCCTCGAGGGCCCACCTTGAAAGCGGTGCGGTTGCCCAGGAAGCTAGTCGTCTGCATAGCGGCCATTGTGCCCTGATAAATGCAGAGAAAACTGTTCGCTCACCTCAACTCCAAGAACTAAAATATTATATTTACGTACACAGTTATGCTTGAGGCCTCACCCTTAAGGAACTTTCCAATGTACGACATGCACTTTAAAGTGTGTGGCAGCGACCGAGCACTGCTGTACATTCCAGCTCTCCACAAATGTGAAGATAGCACAAATCTAAAGGTTTAACCCTTGTTTGATCATATTGAATCCTTATGTTCGTCCACCACTACTGCATAATATCAATCTCACGCAGTTGCCCGGGAATAAGGCAGAGATGTACACCAAAAATTCAGTGTCAGCAAATATGCATTTATTGAGGAGAGCATCTACTTCTATAGATCTTTACCAGGAGCTTCTGCCCTTGCGTTGAGTCGTCTCACCAAAAGACCCTTTGGAGTGTCATTCCAAAGCGCAGCAACAGCGCGGGAACAGGTGCTATTCCATGGACCGTACGGACTGCGCATATTAGCAGCCATAATTTGGATGTTGCTCTGCACCGTAGTTGCGATTTCCGTCCCCGCCACGGGGTCGGTTTCCGTTGGACACCTGCAGGGCGTCTAAGCAAGCCTATCAACTGAGGGCCTGGGCCGAAAGTGCTGAGGAAATCATCAAGGTTGCCGATTCCCGGGATTCGCGAGTCGGATCATGGCAGTTTGGGTTTGCAAATCGGTCATGACAAACGGAGCTCTGTAGAGAAAAAAACGTGTGAATGTTTGTCACTTTTCCCGACAAGGCCAAAAATGCCTCTTCATCTCGCAGCACCCCTTCCAATCCATGCGTGTTGATCCGTGTAAATATTTATAAGGAGAGGGCCCAGGAAATGCAAGTTATTACCGCCCTAAGGCACTGATTGGGTCGGTAACCCGTGGATTACCCATCGGTTACCCACCTTCAACCCCCCGTAGCCCATTGGTAACCCCCTTGTAAGTTCCTACCCAGCAGGAGGGGTAACACGGCCCCAGGGTAACCCCATCCGTTGCCCTGGACTATGGACATGGGCCTACAGGCTACCCATCTTATTTGCTGCGCACTTCGTAAATTCATTTTAGTACATTTCTGTAAATGTACATGTTACATGTACATGTTGAACCTACAGTATCCCGGTAGCTCGGGAAGCATCGTTCGCCAATATTAATTAAAGGCCTCTAACGCTGCAGGAAAATTTTAGTAGAAGATTTAGAACTATGTATGTATTCAGTTTTAGCGTTTGTTCCCGCTTTGAGGGCATTAAGCTCCCGTGCAGTATTAATACGGCAATCTTTACAATTGTACACTCAAAGTGTTTGGTGAACATGTACGTTTGTATGTGTAGACATGTGAGCTCGATACAGGCATATGCATGGATGGAAGTGTATAGAGAGGCATGCACATACGTATGCACACATAGACAGGCGAAATAGGCATACGTGCTCACATAGATGGATGAGACAGCTGTGATAGCATGTGTAGGCAGGTTGGACAGGGACATGCTTACAATCCATTGACACCAGCATATGGCCTGGCATACGGACAAGGAACAATTGTAAACACTGGTTACCCTGTCTGTTACCCCTCAGTACAATATTACCCCGACCCCTTTGTTACCCCTTGGTAAGGGGTTACCCCTACCCCGGGGTTAGGTTACCCACCTCCCTTCGTACATAGCCACATGGGTAACCACTTACCCCTACCCTTACCTCTACCCCTAACCCCTGGGTTGTGCTTAAGGGGGGTTACCCCTCGTTTTATGCCATAGGGCCGCACAGTCAATGTAACGTCTGGTCTGGGTTGACACTACTGCGATTCGCGATTTAGGGTCCTGGGTTCGATTCCTGGGGAGACCCTCGAATTAGTCGGGAGCGCGAGATTATGGCTAGCTGCTGAGATGTGAAGTTGAGGTCGCAGTTTATGGACCAGATTCGCACGCTAGATTGGTGGCGATTGCCGAACCCTCCGTCTCTTCGGTTGTTCGGGTGAATGGATGAGGAGGGGTCCTAGACGGCTGGACCCGCCGCCTTGGACTTACAGTTCGTATGGCGAAGTATAGTGTGGTAGTGGTGGACGGTGCTATGAGATGATAAATCGTAGAACTGACAATATGATAAAGCGGCCCAGAAGCCTCCCACTCTGTAACATTACATTACAATGTAACGAAGCTTGGTCCCTGTAGGGTCCTGCGTCATATAGTAACTAACTCAAGAAGTTAGAAGTCCACAACTTGGTGGTATTGAAGAATACCGTTTTTAGGTAAAGATCAGTATTTTAACTGAGTTGGACCCAAGTGTCATAAGGCCCTATCGTGCAAGAGGCGCCTTTGGCGTTAGTTAGAGAATACTCGATTCGGACGAGCGGCCAATGGGCCTAACGTCCTTACATTCCAACTCTCTTGAAAAGGGGACGTGTCCTGCTGTGACAATTACCGGGGAATCGCAGTTGGGGGTCCCCTGTGCAAGCTTTACGCCAATATCATAGGGAGGCGATTAAATTACTGTGAGGCAACGTGCCGCTAGACAGGCTGGATGTAGGCATGGTTTTGGCACCGAGCATCACTTGTTAAAGGCATCTTATCTCGAAGCACAATGTGGCCGGAGCCAGGCCGCTTATTATCATGCAAATTGACTTTAGTAAGGCGTTCGACTCCGTTGACCATCAGACACTTTGGGATTTCCTCATGTCGTATGGGCTACACGGGCGCATCCTCGATTCTTTAAAGGCTAGCTATGCTGACGTGAAGTTTCGGGTCAAATTAGGAAATAAGTTGGGACCTGAATCCACGGTGGGGCGTGGTGTTAAGCAAGGGTGCCCCCTTAGCGTAACCCTTTTTGGACTCTTCATAGAGGTATTCGCTCATTATATTGATGCTCACGATGCTAATTGCCGTGTATGCCTCCCTAGCCGATGGAGCACCCTTCGTGAGCAGAGTGTTAGCCTGGCGGGCGGTGAACACACTAACCTCCTTTTCGTTGATGATGTGTCACTGGTAGCGACAGGGCACGATAGAGCAGAATGCCTTCTGGGGCTACTCGAAGCCTACTGCAAAGCGACGGGTATGGCCGCGAATGCCGCCAAGTTCAGGTACGGGCCCCTCAGAAGACTCTCCTAAACAAGCGCAGCTCCACGCAGCCAGCAAGGAAAGAGATACACGGAGGACCACGGGCCTGAGACGACACACCACAAAAGCCGAGATACGGTTGCACAAAGAAGACAAACACAAAGCGAGAACTCGCACACTGGTCCTTCAAGGCCAGCTGTTCAACTACCACGAGCAACGAACAACGAACACTTCCCGAGGGCGGCCACCACTACCTCGCCGGTCCACTCACAAACGAGGCAAAACTGGTCCGCATGCCAGTCTCCTCCTGGGGTTTGCGGGCTCCCGGGTGCAGCGCAGCGCAAGACACAGCAAACAAAACACCTATTGCCGCGGGGGGGATGACAAGCCAGCACGGCGCCCCCCTACAAAGCCCGAAAAAGGCACGGCTCACAGACGCTGGTGTTGCTTGTGCTGTTGTTAAAAATGATTTCCCGCTGACTGTGCTGTGTGATACCGATAATATTGTGGTTGACATGAGCAGCTTCACAGATTCACATGCGGGCCGCTCTGGTAAAAACCCGCGCACACGTTGCTCGGTCCTGTTAGTAGCGGCCCGCGTTGTCCCTTCTTTTGCCTTTCCCGCGTTCTCATTTCCTGGTTAGCGAGAGGTCGTATGCAGGCGGGCAGACCACGAGTGGTGAATGTGGGGCTGACGACGGGGGGTTGCAGGTTGACGATCTGAAGCTGTATGTAAAGCGGTGCATGGATCAGACAGCGACCCGAATTGTTCTGTTCGTACACAACACCGTTCAGACATCGCACTCAGCCGACTATGCAATGACAAGGGACGGTTCATCTAATACGCGGGCGGACGATTGACCATGGAGCACCAGTTTGAATACCAAGCTATTTGTTGCATTCATTTGATTGGGTGAAGGCAAAAGCCTTGCAAATAATGGGGATATGCGCCTCTTGTGAGCCGTACTCGCTGATCTCTTTAGTAAAAGGCGAAAGAGATATGAGAGGTTCATGAACGGCTCAGCGCTACGACATCACCATGTGGACACCGGCCAAACCCACCTCATCAGCTCAACATCCGGAGGGCAACAGGACGATGGTGGGTAAACCAAACGACTAATTACTACCTGGCCCTACCCTGGGGTATTGATTCCCTGGGGGTTGGGGGCTCGCTGTAATACCTACAGCTAATTACTACACAGATCTGCCCGTGGCCACTCATCACCCACGACAACGCCAAAGAAATCTTGCATCTGCTGCTGATTATTATGGACGGGTATTGCCCTATTCCCCATCACGAACGTAGCTAACACAAGGAAATACAACGGATGGATGACACGTCCTCGTCCAAGCGGGCTTAGTTGTGTCCAATGGACTCGCTATGGTGAGTTGCTGCCGTACAGCGAGCTGTAAATCTACTGCGCAGTATCGAGCAGGTCTTCGACAGAGGTCTGCTTTCCGCCCGCCAGTGAAACTTCCCAAGGGGCCATTCCTACGACCGGGACCGTCGCCTTCTCACCGCCACCCTCGCCTTCTCGCCCGCGCCCTCGCCTTCTCGCCCGCGCCCTCGCCTTCTCGCCGTCACCGTCGCCTTCTCGCCATCACCGCCGCCGTCTCGCCGTCCCCGCCGCCTTCTCGCCTTCACCGCCGCCTTCTTGTCCTCACCGTCGCCTTCTCATCCTCACCGTCGCCTTCACGCCGTTGCCCTCGCCTTCTCGCCCGCAGTCGGCACGTGCACATGCACATGCACGTGCTCATGTTGGTTGGCTGTCAGAGCAGGTAGGGGGTCAATCCATGAAGCCGCTGTCAGAGCAGGTACCATGTACTTTGTTCGGTGTATAAGGTGTACGGATGCACTGCTACTGCTTTGCTTCTAATTCTTACTACTCTCTTACTGTTTCAGTCTTTCTTATGTTATCGTTTTCTTACTGTGTCCTGTTACAGTTTTGTTGTTACTTGCAACTTTACAGCTATTTTTGCTTGCTACTGCTTTGCCTGTCACTGTTTCATGCAGCTGGTGTTGATGGGGTGTTACACTGTAGGCGGCTCGCCCAAGAAAGGACGAGCACCGGGGGCCCTGATCGAGCCGAAACACAGCGCAGGGACGGGCGTGCGGCTCTACGTCCGTCTGTTCCTCCGCGCGCGCCTCATTCCCTCACTCACGCCAACCGGGACACTCTCCCAGCCCCTGGCTAGACATCGCAGCGGCGCAGAAGACTGCGAACCGAACTAAGCGAGAGCCGCACGAGAGGCGCCACTTCGCCTGGCCTGCCTAGTCGAGCGCTCTCGTTCCTCTTGACCACCAAAACAAAAACAAAGAGAAAACACCACCGGGGGCAGGGGCTCTACTCAGGGGGCTCCACTACACACTCAAAAACCGAGGCAAGGGAAGACCTACCCATGTCAGGTACGGCCCCTCAGAAGACTCTCCTAAACAAGCGCAGCCCCACGCAGCCAGCAAGGAAAGAGATACACGGAGGACCACGGGCCTGAGACGACACACCACAAAAGCCGAGATACGGTTGCACAAAGAAGACAAAGAAGACAAACACAAAGGGAGAACTCGCTTGAAGGCCAGCTGTTCAACTACCACGAGCAACGAACAACGAACACTTCCCGAGGGCGGCCACCACTACCTCGCCGGTCCACTCACAAACGAGGCAAAACTGGTCCGCATGCCAGTCTCCTCCTGGGGTTTGCGGGCTCCCGGGTGCAGCGCAGCGCAAGACACAGCAAACAAAACACCTATTGCC